AATTACAGCATTGACAGACACAATGCAACAAATTACAGTACAAATTACAAAACTTCCGCTGACAGAGGTTCTTCAAGTGCCGAGCGGTGACAGTTGTTAGTCTGTGTACGTTTCGTGTATGCTCATTTCATCCATGCTTTCTGCTCGAGGTGCGCGTTGAAAGTTTCAAGCTGCTTGGCGTTTCTCACGTGACTTTGCAATTCGTTGCTGTAGCATTTATTCCTTCGCCCCGACGGCAAAACAATGCATAATAAATGCTAACTACCTCTGTGAAGACACGTTTCACTTTCGTGTTTTACAGATTCCTTGAAAAAGGAATCAGCCGTGTTTTTTTTGTCTTTTCAGTCGATGTATTGATTCTTTCATGCCCTACCTAAAAAATGTTTCTGAACCTAATGTGGTTTTGTACTGCCTCCAGGATCAGAAGCGTTGTAAGCTTTTCACACCTCTCCTAGTTTTGCATATCCTGAAAAAATTTCACATTTTTCAACTTTTCAAGAAGTGTTCGAATTCCCCGATTATTCCAGGTTGATAGACACCCCTGCCTCATGTCTTGTTGCCCGAGTTCAACCAAATAAGAACTATTATACATAATGTTGCTTGACACAAGTAGTATGCTCACAACTTGTGTTCAGACGTTTCTGGGTTGGAGTGACTTACCATACACAACAAGCCCCGTTTCACTTTGCCATGTGACTATACGAACAAATTTTGTTTTAACTTCATGATGAAAATTGACAGATGGCACTCTTGTTGGTCAAGCATTGATATTAGGATGAAAAAAGCTCTAGAAGGTAGCAATATTGGTTTTAATACGTCACTCAAACAAGGCGGCATGATCGATGAGCAGAAGCTTCCAGGTTTGTTCTATGCAGACAGTATTGTCTTACGGTATTTCCGGACAGTCCAGATGATATGCAGAGGCTGGCAGATATATGCAGAAGGGAAGCTGAAGCTTTAGGACTAGGATTTAGTCTAACAAAATATGGACTGATGGTATTCAATGATCCCAATGATCAGGCAGTGTCAATAAAGGGCCAAGAAATACCAAGAGTAAGCGAAAGCAAGTGCCTTAGATGTATGAATAAATAAAGGTGATATATATGGGGATGTACAAGAAAAAGCCTCGGCAGCAAATGAAAAAGAAATGCTGCAACAATAAAGCACAGAGCATCGTGGGGATACAATAGGTACGAGGTGTTTTGAGGATTGTGGAAAGGTGTAGTGGTTCCGGGGCTTACTTTTGGGAACTCAGTGGTGTGCATGAGGTCAGAGGTGAAATCAGGAATGGATGTAAATCAAAGGAATGTGGGGCGCCTTGCGTTGGGCGCTCACGAGAAATCGACAGATGAGACTTTAAAGGCCCATATGGTGGGACAAATCATGAGGCGAGGGAAGCTCAGAGCAGTTAAATAAGAGAGGCTAAAGAATATAAAATAGAGTAGATAAGCAGATAAAGTGTTCCATTATTTGTATAGCAAGGGCGTTGACACACGGTGTAGAAAAAGAACTAGGAGGCTCATTCGTTAATATACGGCTGGCAGTGTAAGCAGTAAGGCAACAAAGAACATTCAACGAAAAGTCAGAGAGGATAGACCTCTACCGGGGTACGTCACAGCGTGACGTCACCTGTGCACGTACAAGGCGCTGGTTGGCAAAACACTCTTGCTAGTGGCCGAGTGGGGTGCAGTCGCTAAGTGCTTGGGGCAAGTTTTTTTTTTTTTGAAAACTTAAATCATTTCACAGTGGCAACATTAGCTGTGGTATGCGTCGGAGAACATCTAGTTGTGTGGTGAAGTGCGTGATGAAATATTTGCCACGTTGGTTAGCTGTTTATCTCGGAGAAGTGAACACACGTGGTGGCAGCCTGTGCGAGGAACAGCAGCATCGTCTTAGAAAATGTGCAGTGTGCGTTGAAAGGCATCGACAATATTGGTTCACCTTTATGAACGGTGAAACTGGGAATATTGTGCGTGGTGTGTGCAGTGCGAATAACGCCATTCGTCCTGTTTGCGAAAACACTGGTATTCGTTGTGAGCCGGTTGCAGTGAGCGGTTGTCGATGGAACTTAACGATTTGACATTTTAGTCAAGATAAAAATGCAATTGACGCAATCGTCTGCGAGTGGATACATTTCAGCGTATGCGCGGCGTGCAGAAAAATAAAAGTGCATGATCTCTGGGTGATATGTACGACTACGCATGAGCTATAAGCAACGCTGTGGCGTTGCCGGGTCTGCATACACGATTCACCACGGCTATAACTTGTATTACCGGATAACTGGTACGTGTTAATGGCAACAGCGGAGATTTTCATTTCTTATCTACGTTGTACTTTTAGGGCTTGATCCTTATGAAGTGACAATGCACATTAGAAGTTTGTTTATCAATCCTAAAGGAACAATATAGGTACAAGAACACGTTATAGGTGTCAAATGCAGCAAGGTAACGGTACCAGATAATATATACTTTTAAGTTGTCGGGCTTTACATCACATTAATTTCACTGGGTTATTGAGAAATGCAGCGACAGAATTTCTCTTTAATTTTCACGAGGATATGTTAACCTCAGACTAACGCACGGCAAAAAGTCATTTTTTTTCAATTCATCTCCGATCAGACTTTTGTGCAATGAGTGAGAATCTTATCCATGACGTCGCGCACAACAGCTCAAAACCAAGCTGGCGCTAATGCTTTACCTCGTTTAGAACTGCATTGAACATGCCACGATGGAAATTGAATAAGTTTACATCCATGCGATGCTAATACTTCTCAAAGTGCCAGTCACTGTATACATTCAAAACGTTCGCTTACGAAAAAGATCAGATTTTCTTGTGGCTGACATCTACGTGGGTGAAGCCCACTGTGTACTAGTCGTGTCTTTCAGTACTCTAAATAAAGTTTCGCCATTCATACATCTACGACGAGCAAATTTCCGCACTATAAGAAGTGACGCTTCCGCAACCCCCTCCTTTAAATAGCGGTGACTTTAGAACATAGCAATGCAGAAATTTCTGTTGAAGGAATGCAAACACGTAGCTCTGCTATGCAGAAAGATGTCGCCAGCGGAACTTTCTAGCCAACCAGCACCTGCTCCGAGAGAAGGTATAATGGGCGGGGTGCCCGCAGTGACGTCGCACTGTTTACAAACAGGGAGAAGTCTATTGACTGGATGGCAGGGACGGAGAAAAAATCAGCCCTGAGTAACTACCAGAAGGGCAAAAATGAAATAAGGAAGGCATTTTATGATAATTCAAAGGGAAGCACTTGACTTCTTGAAGTGAGATCGGATTGCCTTCGAATGCATCGTTAAAAAATGAGATTCAGTAAAGAACAACAACAATGCATATGCTGTGGAAAAGATAAGGAAAAAACGAAGCATGTTCTGACTGAATGTGGAGATATACGCCCGGATTTATGCTTGGGCGCGAACCTACATGAAGCCTTGGGTTCTAAGAACAAGACAACAATGGATGCTCTCCCATTCAGTAGTCCAAGTTGTTCGTTTGAAAAAAAAAAAAAAACACTCACTAACGCATTCTTAGCAACTATTTTGCTATGCCATTTGAGCAAGCTGATGGCTTTCCATATTCTTTTGTCTATCACCACATCAAATCAAACTCAACACTAAAAAAAGTAGCAGCTTTTGTTTCTGTAGAAAATATAGAAAGCCAGTAGATTCGGACACCTTGTCACACAATCAGCAGAAAATTTTCAAAATCATTATATCTATTGATAAATCAGCAGCCATGGCAACACCGAGTCAAAGGCCATGCTTATAAATACACCATCACTATTTAAAGAATAAGCTATAACATCTCCATATCATTGCGTGCCATGCACGAGAAACACATTCAAGCAGCACTTCAGCAGCTTTCATTTAAAAGCACAGTGCTTTTGTGTTCTTTTTAGATCCTTATAGAATTCTGTCGTGAGTGGTATTAGTTCCACCAGAAAGGAGGAAAGGGTTGCAATGCACTGGCTGCCAGTCCTTTCCTCCCCATCCGATGTGAATACCCACGTTATGTACTGGAAAGGTCTCCTAATGACAGTTTGCAGAAGCACATACAGTTGCCAAGGCAAAATAAGTGTGGCGTCATTTGTCAGATTGTTGCCAATGGTGCCTATGCAGCCCTAGCCGTCGAGGGAAACTCTATGAACGCACCATCTGTGGCACTTCTGCAAAAGTTGACAGTGCCTGACTCAATGTTGTACAATGCAGAAAGGTGACTAGCACGAATTCTTTATACTTCTTTTTCAATTACATGTCGCTTTATTTTTGACTGCATTAAATACAGATTGCTAATCCCTAATCATGTCATTTCGCAACCCAATTTCTTACATGTACACTGCCGTAAAATCCAGAACAAGTCCCCCCTCACAATGAACATTAACCCGACAAAGTTCGGATGGTGGGCCCTTGCTCGGCCATGGATAAAAATTCAACATAGGGGTGGAATAGCTTCTAAAAATAAAGAATGCACACCTGAGCTTCTAATGCAATACTTTCTTAAATGAGCATACATTCACTGTTTTTATTTGCCCTCATCAGGTGAATAAAAACTGTGAATGAAACAGTGAAAATCTCGGGAGGGGAGATGAAGGCGCATATCTAAAATGTTCCGAAGGGAGGAAGGCACTTGCTCAGAATTTTACTGTATAACAGAGAACAAACAAAGTTGTGGCCGAATTATGGTTCCTTTTTCTAACCAAATGTTAATTTCACACAATCAATAAGTATGCGTACAAGCTTACTGCTACCACTCTTTTCTGGTCACACACAAAATATTCACAGCAAATCTTGTTTCGGAAACAGATTCATGAATAATGAATACTTTCCAATTAAATGCACTATACAAAAGTTACGGATTTATTGCGACCATGTGCCGCCATTAGGAACTGATACGTGACAAGCAACTACACTTGAAACTGCTAAGAGGGAGAGAGAGATACTTGAACTCATTTAGTGCATAAGACTGCACATGAAACTTTGTGGGCGTACCTGGTGCAGCTCATCGTCGTTAGCGATCGCCAGCAGAATGTGTCGCGGCGTGACACGATTTTTCTTGTTGTCGCGTGCCGCGTTTCCAGCCAGCTCCAATATTTCCGCTGCTCATGAAAGAAAAGAAGCAGGCGTACAGTCCATTAACACAACTGTTCACTGTCGCTTTCTAGGCCGACTGCCAGTTAGTGGCTACTTCAACTCGTGCACGCAGTTTGTTCTTGTGCAGCTGTGTTTTGGAGTATCAAGTATTGAAACACGGAACAAAGCAATTCTTTTCTGTGTAGTAGCCCTCTCTACACGCATTCGTACTCCAGCGACCCCCGTGAAATAAATGCTGGAGACAGCATCCACAGTTACGTCCAATGCATCAGATATGACAATCTAAGAAAGGAACGTCAGTTAGCATCGGCTCTGAAACATCTGATTAACGCGCTGGCACCAAACGACACGGTACAAACTAACAAGCAGAAAGTGAAGCATTGTAGCGCCTGTTGTGCCACCCTAGCATCCGCTGCTTTGATATATGCTTGCGTGAATGTAGCACGACAGGAAACCTTTGTTTTTCATTACACAAAACATGCACACAGACGCCTGCTTACAGGTGACACGTGAATCAATGCCGTGATATTTCACCTGGTCAACCACTGCGGTGACCCAACACGGGTGTATCGGTTGCAAACGGAACACGAGAACGCCTAAACAAAGTATAGCAACAAAGCATGACTCCGAGCAACCACATATAAGTCGAGTATTTGAACGTGCGGAAACCAACAACAAAAAAAAATTCTGATGTTGGACAACGTGGACAAACGAACACGGAATGGCTGACCGCGCACAAGCACACGCGTCGAGTGACCGTTAACACACGGTACTTTTGAACACGATGGAGCCAGCACAGGATCCAATATCTCGATCGCGATTCCTTTCCTTCTGAAACGAGCCATTAAAGACCGAGATATTCTATCTTCCTTGATCGCGATCGAAAGCGCCTTATGTGGTACCGGTAAACGCAGACGGGAAGGCTCCTCAGCTCCGAATACGAACATACGCAGCTCGCAGAGGTCCGAAGCCTCAAGGAGAATAAATTGTAGGCGAATATATCGACATAATCACTTCAAAGACGTCCGTAATGTACTCACCTGTGAGATACTCGATTACCGCAGCCATATAAACTGGAGCGCCGGCAGCGATCCTGAAGTGGTGGGTGCTTTTGCGGAGATAGCGACCTATTCGGCCAACTGGAAATAGTACACCAGCTTTTGTAGACTTCGAAACTGCCTTGCATCGTTTCTTTCCACCACGTGCCGACATCGTGAAAAACTAACAACTGCTCGACGTGACAGCACGTCCAGCTACCGGAGCCTACCAAAACAACCGGCAACTTAACATCCCATCAATCCTACAGGAAGTAAGAATACCGGAAGCAAGCAAGGTAGGTGTTCTGTGGGCGAACTACTAGACCAACAAGTTGTAGTTGAGTAGAAAAATGCTTGGGAAAATTCCTACATTCAAAAACTCCAACTGAGGCGGGGAACATTTCTTTGTTTGTTTTGCACTTAGGGAAATTACTGATGTCATAGAAGTTTTAAGGTTTACAATTTTTAATGTTTTTTTTGTGCGTAAATTATGGTGCATACAGTTTCTTTCAGTTATGATGAGTGTCTGCTTCGGAATCTAGTAACGTTGGTCGCGTGTGTGTCATTATTTCTGTGCGCGGAAAATGAAGAAATCGTAAATCAACGCATATTCCCCCGACTGTACCACTGTACTCAACGCCACAGAGCACCCATCTGTGTGACTTATCTACGCGTTCTGTGTGTCTCTACAATCCGCATCGTGCACAACGTCCGTGCAGCTTTCACGGCGCGCCGGTCTTGTTGCCTTGGGCCTAAATATGATTTGTGGACTTGATCATACGAAGGGACAATGATATTGCCAAGTTTCCGTGGTTGGTACCGACTTATTCCGGTCGCCGTAACGATAATTGCTTGGCTCGTGTCTGGGCAAACGATATTCGACTATGCTCGTCACCTGACGCATCAGGCCGAACGTTACTTGGATGATATAAAGTTCGGAATAAAGGCAATCAGAAACGGACTAAACACCGTCGAAGATGTTTTGAAAGACTCAAAAGAGCCTAGCTGTGCGTACAAGTGCCCTGACGGTGAGTGACAGCATGTTGTGTTCTGATGGTGCCGGTAGCGCGCGGTCGAAAGATAACATTGATTACGCCACGGTAATCGGGAGTGCAATTGATCTGTGGCGGTAAGTTCTAAAGCATAACATTAGCAGTCTGCACATTGGCGTAAATAATGCGTCCTTTAAATAATGCCATGGCGCTGGCGTTGCCATACCCGACAGCGCTGTCGTTGAAAACTTTCAAGGTGTCATCAGTATTACAGTGTTCGCTGCGGAAGTGTTCCATTTCTCATCCTGGCTACTTAGCAGCGCTACAAAAAGGGCAGTCGTGTACTGTGGTCATAAAGTAAAGGTTGGTCGGTCGTGACATATCAAAGCAGAAGCCACATAACTGTTGCATGCAATGCATGTTCACTGCACACTCTTATAAGTCTGAAAGGGAACGTCGACTTTTGTTTTTAATTCCGTTCGCTGGCTCCAAAATTCACGCTTTTATAAGCGTCGTTTTATATGCGTCTTGGCGTCGTGTGCTCCTGTGTGAACTGTGTACCACATACACACAGAAATTAAAATCTGTGCGTGAGCTGCACGCGAGCGACGTGGCATGAGATCGAAAGCCCGCAGTGTTCGCGCTCCAGGTTACACCGGTTATTGGAAGATGCTGTTTCATTTCAATATATCGGTGCCCTACAGACACTCTTAACTTTTTTTTTTCTTCAACGCACATAGCAGAAGTGCTGACCAAAATTAGAACGAGTTAGAACTTAGCAGAATTATGCCTGAGTGACTCATTGTCAGTGCCTGCTGCTAAATTCTAGTTCGCTGTACTGATGATTAGCACCTGGTTTTAGCCATTGTAGTCACCTTTCGATTAGGCCAGATTGCAAACATGCATGTTGTTCGACTTCAGTGCATGCTGAAAATTCTAACACAATAAATATTATACGATACCCTTGAGGAACTTATTGAGGCACAATGAATCTCCCAATTCGAGCGATTAGCTAAGACTAAGCCAGGCTGCCAGATTCTATGTAATCTCGGTATTTCTTACCACATTCAACACGGAGACTAATCGACATGCCACGCTTTATCCGTGCCAAGCTCACAGTACCACCCATACCAAGAAACATGCACCCTGAACACAACAAGGGCAGACGTGTCAGTAGAGTAAGAGCCATGTCAAAGATGTTCGGGCACAACCATGAGGCAGTCTTTGCCGACGCAGCACGCTACCAGGAACGTACGTCACCGCATCGTGGCTGCTGTTGTAGACCACACACAACAATGCAAAAGCAGCGCATCAATCATCACACGGAACGTAGAAACGGCAGAAGAAGTGGCTATCGCGATGGCCATAGCCCACACTAACATCTCATGTGTAATCAATGACTCGTGGACAGCCGTTCGAAACTACGCCAGCGGCAGAATCTCCCCCGAGGCATTGCAGAATCTTAGTACAGGCAAAATTCACGAGGCGGACAAATACGTGCACATCCTGTGGTTCCCTGCCCACACACCACTAGGTAATCCGTAGGACAGTCCGAATGAAGTGGTGCACAACGTGGCTCGAGGTCTTACGTTCAGAGTCACGTCAGATGAAGCTGCCACCCAATCGGACTTTTCTGCGCCGGTGTGGGAATGGGACGATCGACTCACTAAATTTAATGACATAACACTATGTCTGCAAAGGCGGGAGTACCCTCCGCCTCACCCCAAGCTAAATCGGGCCCAGTTCGTTCAGTGGCGGCAGCTACAAACATGCACATACACGAACCTTGTCATCATGCACCACATATATCCCGACGTCTATAGTTCTAACCTATGCCAGTACTGTACCACCAGAGCTTGACCACATCCTATGGGAATGTCCAGCATTAGTAAAAAATTCTGGGGTCGCGGCCTCCAGTGAAGACCTTCAAGCTCATTGGCCAACTGCGCTGCTCAGTTCATGCCTGGACAAGCAACTTTGGGCAATCCAGCAGGCCAAGGAAGCTGCCGGGAGACACGGTCTCTCCGCTGGCCCCTAGGTGGGAGCCCATCCCAGCAATCTACCGGATATTAATAAAGTCTGCATCTCTCTCTCCCCCATTAAGCCCTAGTGCACTGTTGCTTTGGATGACAATGCATAGATAACCAAACCTTGCTACAGACAAATTAAGAAAGAAAAACTACTTGGCACTACTTGAAACACGAAAGCTAAAGGAGACTGTCAACATGATTGGTGGAAGGCATGAAGGACTTTTTTTATGCACATGGCTAACGACGATCATAAAAAAAATGAAAATGAATTAAATGAAAAGTGAAAATGAAAATTTTAATAGTCGCAACCAAGGTGTTCCTTATTACCAAACTTGTATGTACATCATTCTGCCATCTTTAACAAAAGCTAATTTAAGCCCATATTGTTCACTTGAAATGCACGATACCACCGGAGAATCATTAAGCTGTAAGTTTCTGGTTTGGTGACATTGGCATTGCGGTGCTAAGCGTAAGAGTGCAGGTTCAATTCGCAGCCACAGCAGGCACATTTTGATGGTTCAAAATGCAGAAATGCTTATGTACACACTGTAGACTCTCGTTAAACAGAACCTGAAGAGACCTGGAAAATATATTTCATTTAACAGGAGTTCCATTTACTGAGAGATGAGCAAGGGTGCCGAATACAACTACGAAACCAATCTTGTCAGAAGCGCTGGTTCCATTTAACACGTTCGCTGCAGCAAGCTTTCTTGGTGTCGCGTTTTATGTGCAGAGTGACTCACCAGTGGGTCATGGCATCTGCACTATAAAATTTTTTTCTGATTATTTATAGCCTCTTGCTACAGGAATTATAACTCTGTGTTCGTGTTTTATGAACTTATTGCCTCAGCAAGCAGATGCATGGTTGTAACATCTTGGCCACATGGGAGAAGCACAGCCCATGACCCACCAATCACCCATGCCACAGTGAATGTGTTAAGCCACAGTTTCTCTTAAAAAATTTACTTTTACTGAGAGTCTACTGTACTTGAATTGAGGTGCACATTGAAGAACTCCAGGCTATCAAAAATAATTTGCAATCACTCGCTAGATGATGCCTCAAAATCTTTTTGTGGGTTTCGGTACAATAAACTCAAGAATTTAATTTTCAATAAAATATATTATTTGCAAGGGACTGATAACATGTCTGATTGGTCTAACAATTCACAGCGGAGGCAATTGGGGGAAGTGCATCATATTTCACTATAGTGCATCATAACCTAGACACACACAAACATACCGCCAAAGTTGACATTTAGAGCAATACAAGCTTCTGCTTTGTACTTCCTAGTTACTTTTACTGAGAACAGATGCCCCACACAAATAGTAATAATATTGGAAGGTAAGAATTGGTAGCAATGCAACTATTGAACTTCCAAAGCAGATTGCTGCAGCATTGCTTGTTGAGTCTAGTTTATTCAATGTAGGCTGTGTTTTTATTCATTATTGTTAAACAATAACCACATATTATTTTCAAGTTCAAAAATTCAAACTGGAAGCCATTGTAGTTTCCTTGCAGAAACTGGAATCTGTGTAAAGACTGCAAAATATGGCACATTGCAAGATGGCTTTTTGTCAGCTGCCACCGTTTAGAAAATTGTGTTCATACGCAGTGATTTCCTCTAAATATTCTACTGCTCAAAACAGGCACTGGCTAGTATGCTGTCCAAAGGATAGCCATTGCTGCCCTGGAATGTACGCATCTAGTTCAGCAGTGTGCACAACATGGTAGTAACTGATTTGGGAAGTTGGCATGTAGGTGTGAGCTATGCTGTCATGTGATTTTGCATTGCTATCAAGGGGCAGTTGGCTTGAGATGACTCAATCAGTTAAGTCAGCAGCCTGTATGCAGGTTCCATTATCAACACTTCTGACATGACACAGATTCAAAGACTTATCTTCGTAGAGGCTGTGGAACAGCCTCCAAGAAAAGTTGGCGCGTCGAATCTTTTGAACATTTGATGCTAAACTGCACAAGCACTGGGAAAACAATGCTCGTTCAGTTTCAAAGCATGCTTTAGTGTACCTTCTTTTAAGTACAGTGTTCCTTTTTAACCATTTGCTTGTACCGTTTTATCATCTGTCTTTTTCACTTCTTTTATTGCTTCCCCAAGGATCATTGCCAAAACCAAAGATTGGTTACAGAGCTGACTCCAATGGCTGTGGTGCTTATGGCTTCCAGGTAATTTCTTTTTGCCCACTGTAATTATTTCTCAGAATTAGTATGTACTATCTTTTTATGAAATATCCGCAAAAGCTGCTTATAATGATGGGACTTTTCTAATAGTGCATCTAAATTTTTGTCTGTATGAGTGCAGAGAGGTCTAATAAACATGGCACTCTGTGAGTTCATCAATCGGTAGCAATCCGAGCCACTTGTCAAAACTTCTTGTATAATGAATTTTTGGGTGTAGTGAAATAATCAGGGTTAACAGTGGAATTGCTTCAAACAGGTTGGCCGACGTTTCGACAGGAGGACCTATCTTCCTCAAAGAAGCCTTGTCATCTGTGCCGTGTTAGTTTTAGGGGATAGTTGTGACATCTCTTGTGGTTGTGCATGTTCCAGTTGGTGATTGTCTGAAAATTAAAAAAAAATCTATAAAGCAGAAGACTGCAGCCTTCATTTTATTTTAAGTTCGGTTGCAATGATACATAGTGTTCTCTTCTCTTACCTCCGAGAAGAGAACCCTTTGTATCATTGCAACCTAACTTGAAATAAAGCGAGGTCTGCCCTCTTCTGCATTATAGATTTTTTCTTTTCAGACAACGATTACCAACTGGAACATGCAGCACCACAGGAGATGTCACAACTAACCCCCTTGAAACTAACACAGATGACACGGCTTCTTTGACAAAGATAAGACCTCCTATCGAAACATCGGCCAGCCGGCTTGAGGCACTTCCGCTGTTTATCCTGATTAGCCCACTGCGCGTTTCCATCTGTCAGCTCCAATCTTGGTTTTGGATGTAGTGAAGTAATTGCCAAATGGTAATTGGCAATGGCAGCATTAACAAATGCACACTTGTGTAGAATATTGGCTATAAGAAAGGTGTCTTTGTTTTCGATGAAGCGCTGCTGTAGTGAGGTTTCACTGCACCTTCAAAAAGTAGGACTACAGTGACTGTCTGCAGGACATAGTGCAATATTCAGAAGATGATGGTGCTGGTACTCTTTCTCTTATGGCACTCACACGTAAAGCGAAATGGGCCAAGAATCACAGCAGGCTATGCTTCTGTCAGTATAAGTTCTTCCTCTCTTTTGCCATCTATGTAATCTTGCCCTTGATGTATGCATTGAATGCATTTAAAAGGAACCTCAGTTTTGTTTTGGCTTGGAATTCCTTGCTTGTAGTGTCTGTTGGTCTCTCTTTTTTTTGTGAATCATTGCATTTATCTAGTAAAGTAATTGCTTAATCTTGGAAGGTATTCTAAAATATCTTGCTGTGAAGGCCAAACCCCATAAGCGCAAAAATGCACGTGACAGTGACGAGCGACGCAATGAGCAACGAAGCTTTGAGAAACGAAGCTTTGAGCGACAAAAAAATAACGTGATGTTTATGCACGTGCATATAAAAAAAAGTGCTGCAAGGCAATAATAAATACCTTCTGTTTCATTATGCAATAAACATTTTATTTTTACATTGCTTATCACCGACTACGCGACATTTTTGGTACGAGGAGGCAGCCTCATGCCAGCAACAGTGGAGTTCACTGAAACTATCCGAAGCCGTCGCATGAATCATGTTTGCCTGCGCAAGTGACTGTTCGTGCGAAGGCGATCTACGTCGCGTCGCTGTCGTGTGGGTTTTCATGGTTATGGGGTTTGGCCTTTACTCATGAATAAACCATGTGTCTGTAACAACACAAACTATTTTTTGCCGCTTTAGAGTCACTCCCCAAAATCTTCTTTTTTAGATTGGTCTGAAGAATTTCATTAAGGAGTAAAAAAAAGTACACATTTCTCGGACAGTTTTCGCAAAAAAAAAAATTGACTTGACAGGGTTAATCAGGATTAAAATAACAAATGCGTACTGTATTCTTGACCTTGCTAGCTAGAGGAAATTGTTTCTTTTACTTGTAAAGAACTTGTTGCTTGTTCATCCCTTGTTCTATTATGGCTTGTTCTATTAGATGGAAGCAAAGGAACTTCCACACAAGGAAATGAACTCATGTTGCCACAAGCATGACCTCTGCTATGGCACCTGCCTGGCTGACAAAGATGAGTGTGATGCAAGGTTTCTGAGCTGTCTAGACATAGTCTGTGATAAGAAGGCCGGGAGGAGTCACAAGGACAGGAACTCTCAAGGTATTGCTTTCTGGGTGATGTTCAATCTGTACTGATGAAACAATTTCATGGATGCAACATACAGTGTCTTTCAATGCAGCATAGGCTCACTCATTGTAGCATTAGAGCATCTGTTCCTGAAAGAGAGACATCGTACATGCAGTATTTGATTGATGTAGCATAATTGTTCATGGTTTTAAATTGTTACTCAAGATGTGGGAAGGCTATTCTATTAATCAAGGAGTATAGGCATGAATTATTTTCATGTAGAACAAGCTTATGATGTTTACTGAAAATAAATATTCTAAAGTAATACCGGCAAAGAAGAGCTTGTATAACAGATCATATATTTTATTTTGGCCTTAGTCTGAGCGGGCTGTGAGTTCCAGAAATCACACCATGTGTCTATGTGCTCAGCAAAGCCATCACCGAGCGAAGTGTGCCACAATTTAGCCACCTACTGAATGTAATTATTTGTGCAATGTACTGTGGATATGAGCTTACGTCAAGCTAATGAATGAAGGTCTACATTTAAGCCCAGCAATTGAGTAGCTGACTGTCATCGTAGATTTGTTTGTTTACTTGCTTGACCTCCATTACAACTGTTCATGCTAGCAACTCATTGTCGAATAAAAGCTCTCGTTGATATATAAAAATGGAAGCTATCATTGAGGAAATTGCCAACAAATTGTTACATCATTTATGACAGGGCTATGCATATGGCAACTTGTTTCCAAAATGTGTACATTATTTGGAAAGTAGGAATCACCTTGAAAGAATTAGATTTGTGCATTCCTTTCACATGTGCTTTGTATATGGTGCTATATTTGTGTTACATGGGTACCAACAAGCTCTTTTTGACTCTGTGAATGGAAAACTTCATAAAGGAGTCATAGTGAAGGAGTTGTGGCCATATAACAAGGCACTTTACAAGCTTCAGACAGAAGCTGCGAGGAACCCATTAGTGGGCACTGCTACACCTACTTCCTTGTGTGAAATATTGGTGATAGTGATGCTCAGAATGTTCTGCTTCATATTTATATTCTAGAAAAATCATAGTTTATTTAAATGAAAGAAAAACAAAAGCTTTAGGGTGTTACCACAGAAACTTGTACTTTAAACATGTTGACAGCAATGTTGACCTTGCACATTGGTCCATCGCACAAATAATTTTCACTTAGCAAAGGGACTGGTGTGTAGCTAAATGAAGGCTTCTAAGTCCTACGGGCCAGTCTATTACTAGAATACTTAATCAAACATTAGTGGGCAAGTTTGTGAAATAATGTGAACTGAATGTTCATGCAAAATGCGCCACGAATCGAATAGAGTTGCTGGCAGGAGCACGTTCAGTGTCGATTGCTGATGGTGCCGTCTCTATCCATCGATTTGTACATTGCATGTATGACATGGACTTCTTGTAGTGATTGTTCTATGGCCCTGGCACGCTCAAGTGACTTGCCAAGCCATTTTTTATCACTGATTGCAGCATTTGGGCTTTAGCTTCTATGTCTGCATTGTCATGCAATGTCTCTGTACAGTATAACTGCATGTGTTCATTTGCCAAGCCTGCTTCTTTTGTACATTTCTGTCATTTAGAAATTGAAACATATTGTGACAAATCCAACAACTTCACAACAAGGATGTTCTATTTACAAGGTTTAATACAGGGAAATTTATACCCAAAGCCAAAGGAATTACACAGCAGTTAGAAAAAAGAACACAAACGTTCGTAGTCCTCGCGAGCCTCTGCCTGGAACACCATTGTTTTCTTCTTCACACGTGTTGGCCGCTTGGTAGAAGCTCGTGCACATGCTGGGCCGGCTCGGGCATTCTGGCTGGCTTCATCTGTCATAGCGGCGCCATCAGGGTGTCTCTTCGTTAACGACATCTGCATTGTACTGTGCGTTATCAATTCCTCATGGCATTATCCCCCCTCTCAAGCGGCATCGCCCCGATGCGTGGGATGAGGCTGTCTGGTACCTTTTGTCTACAAGTTTCTAAAAATGAGGTTGTAGTACACCAAGAGATTGGGGTGACTAGGTTTCGTATCAGTCGTAGCACGGCTTGATGTGTACAATGTGTGCACGCTCTGTGGGATTGCGTCACCTCGAATGCAGGCGGCCTGCAGGCTTGACTTCATAGACGAGGTCACTGTGTCGCTGTACTATTTTATAGGGGCCAAAATATCGGCAAATGAGTTTTTCAAAGAGGCCTCGTTGCCGTACTGGGGTCTATATCAACACTTTGTCGCGAATGTCATACCCCGTTTCACGTCTTCCTCGGTTGTTGCTGTTGGGGTCGGTCGGGTGTTGATAACATATTCGGTATCTTGCTAACTGGCGGGCCTCTTGCACGGCAGTATTGGAGGCAAAAGTGATGTATGGTAAAATTTCGTCCCACTTTTTGTGCTTGACATCCACATACATAGATATCATGTCAGCTAGAGTTCTGTTTAGATGTACGGTCAGGCCATTGCATTGAGGATAATATGTGGTGGTTTTTCTGTGAACAGTGTGAGTCGTGTTCAGCAGGCACTTTATAAGTTGTGCCGGGAAAGCTGTTCCACGATTAAAGACTACAACAGTTTGAGGGCCATGTCGGAGAACTATGCTGTGTACAAAGAAATGGGCCACTTCTGCCCCTGTTCTCCGTTCCAAGGAGTTGGTTGCGGCAAATCTAGTTAACTAATCAGTCGTCACAACGATCCATTTTTCCCCGAGTGAAGATGGCAGGAAGGGTCCAAGCAGTTTCATTCCAATTTGTTGGAAAGGCCCTTTTGGTGGATCTATAGGTTGTAAAAGGCCTGCTGATTTAGCGCTTGGTGTTTTCCGTCTTTGGCACTCGCTGCATGTTTTGACATAGTGTTGCACTGAGGCTAATAGCTTAGGCCAATAATAATGGAGACTGATCCTTGCAAGTGTTCGAGTCACACCCAAATGTCCAGATGTGGGCTCATCGTGGCACACTTGTATGTTTCTTGCCACTTATGGTGCATTCAGACGACGGACCGAATCTAGATGTGGCGGGATGGACGGCGCGTCACGTGACCTCACATCAGCGATTCCCCTCGTCCGCGCAGCTCGCGGACGGATGACCCCAACCTGTTTCTCACATAGGGATTCTGGCGGGAGAAAGCCAATACTTCAGCGGATTAGCTCGGGGTTTCTGGCAACCAGTACACTTTTCGTCTGCTCACGGTATGTCCTGGCTCGCAGACATCTGCATGACTGGTCGGCATCATCTACGCTTGAGCTTTTTTCTTATTTTACTTATTTTTCGGGGGATTTGTTCTCAGGTGATCAGGTGATTAAATACGCAGAAATCACTTCTGGTAGTTCGGGAAATGTCGCCGCCGTCGTTTGACACGTGAGATTCTTAGCCGTCATGGTGGTGAAATATTCTAACTTCTGCAACCGTGCCGCTTCTAAAAAAGGATGGGAGACGTGTTCAGAAGTTCTACAAGTGGGGAACAATGTAGTTGAAAGAACATTCTGCCAGGAACTCCCTTTTCTCTTGAAAGAATAACACTCCTCGTTCATTTGTCACAACACGACAGACATCGCAGTCAAGCTATAGCCAAGCGTCGCTTCTTGCGGGCATCCATGTTGAATACTTTCAAACCGGTCTGCTGCCAGCGGGCGTAGGGGAGCGCCGAATCTGCTCTCGAGGGTAATCCGGCTGTTTTCTCCGAGGACACCGCCCGTCGTGTGGATGCGCCTGCAGGCGGATCATCCGCGAATTAGCCATCCGCGTCCACGACAAATCCGGATTCGGTCCGTTGTCTGAATGCACCCATAGTTGCAGGAATGACAAGCAAGAGCTTTTCAAGGTTGGGCTTGAAGTTTCTCTTGTAGAGAACATTTCTTCGGAGCCAGAAAGATGTGAGACTACGAGAAAAATATACGAGGTATTTGTATGTCAACTCCTTCCAGGTGTTTGATGAGTGGGAGCAATTATTCATCTGCACATTAAAATTCAGCTATTTGAGTAGCCCCGACAATACCTACGCACGGAAAGTCCTCTTCTGAAAGTGGTGTGTCTATAGGAGCCCGTGACAAACATTCAGCATCTGTATGCCTCCTCCCAGATCGGTATACCACGGTTATATATTCTTGCAGTCCGAGGCTCCTCCTTACTAGTCATCCAGGTGGATCCTTGATGTTCGCCAGCCAGCAAAGCGCATGATGATCGCTGACTGCCTTGAATGGTCTGCCATATAAGTACGGCCGAAATTTACTGATGGCCCATATGACGGCAAGTAATTCTTTCTCTATGGCCGAATGGTCACTCTCCACTTTTGTTAGTCTGACTGGCGTAAGCTATTACCTTTTCTTCATCATTCTGCCACTGTATTAGAACACATCCAAGGCCGATGTTACTGGCATCTGTGTATTTCCGTGTCAGCTGTCTCATCAAAATGAGAAAGAATCGGGGGCTTTTATAAATTTTTTCTTAATTCGTTGAAGGTGCTCTATTGCTTGTTTAGCCACTTTAAAAGCACATCATCTATTGTAAGTTTCGTTAAGGGTTCTGCGATCTCCGAAAAATTTCTCACAAATCCTCTGTATGAAGCACATACGCCTAGAAATCTCTGTACTGACTTTTTGTCTGTTGGCACCGGAAACCTTGTGACGGCGGCCGTCTTATTGGTATCAGTTTCGAGCACCTTGGGTGCTGACGACATGCCCAAGAAATCGAAGTTCTTCAAAACCTAATTGGCACTTCTCTGGCTTGATTGTCGAATCTACCGAATCGATTGCCTCTAACACTGACTGCAGGCGCTTGATGTGCTCCTCAAATGTAGCCGCAAAGATGACCACGTCGTCTAGGTACACTAAGCAAAACTTCCACTTCAATCCGGAAAGAACAGTGTTCATCATGCATTGGAACGTTGCCGGTGCACAACAGAGACAAAACAGGAGAGTCTTAAATTTATGAAGTCCGTCCAGGGTAACAAAACCAGTCTTCTCGCGAACACGTTCATCAACTTCGACATGCCAGTATCCACTTTTCAAATCCAG